GCTCCTAACCAGCTCCCCATTACCTCTCTTGCTCCATTTTACAGGGTCACCCAAGCAGTATTTTCAAATAAGAATTACGTAATGGTAATGCCTTCGCAGAAAGGACCTCTGCAGCCTTCCAAAGCCCCATCCATTCCTCCACTGTCATTCCCCTGCCCTTGCACCTGCACCTCCCACGGTGGAGCCCAGTGGCTTCTCTCTGTTCCTTCACCGTACTTGGTTCTTTCCAGTCAAGGGTCTTCTACGCTTGCTGTCCTGTCCTCTATTTCTCTCTGTTTGCCTGGATGACTCCTGCAGATTCTTCTCATCTCACATCATCCCCCCTTACCCCTCATTTCAAAGTGGGCTGCCACTGAGCTCCCCTTGGGCCTCTGCGGGAGTGCCACCTACTTTGACACACATGCAGGCAAAACACCCTTCCACACCACAGAGAAACAATTAAATCTGTTTTCCAATGTAAGACAATACAGTCCTTGGATTTCTGCGATATCAAATATTTGTTGAGTGTTTACTAGGCTCCAGCTCTCAGGCTAGCACCTCAAGATGGAGCAATGAAGAAAGAAAAAGAAAATTATCCCAAGCTCCTCAGGAAGCTCGTGTTTTAATAAAGGAGCGAGACAATATACAAGAACGCAAAACATTAAATAAAATACCAATTGATAGGTGAACCTGAATTAGGCAGAAAAAGCCCGTCTTGGATAGTGATGATTGACAGAGACCTAAAAGAGGAAAGCAAGCCAGATAACTAGGAATCTGGAAGAAAAAACGTCCCAGACAAAGGAAACAACTAATTAAACCTCGGGGGGCAAGAAAGTAGAGTGTTTCTCGTGCAAGTCCCAAGGAAAGTGCTGAGCACAGACAGGGGGAAGGTGGGGCCAGGTCCTTGGATCCTGGAGAACAGTGGAGGCCTCTCAATTGCTTTCTAGAAGAAAGGACAATCAGCAAACTGTAGCTAAGAGCAGGCGGTATGTTTGCAGAGAACACCTGACTGCTACATGAAGGATATTTGAGACTGAGTGGAGGAGGCCAAAGAAAAGTGAGCCTCTGATTTGGACTGGAATGCTGGCAGAGGAGATTTGAGAATGATGTACAAATGGAAACCATTCAAACAGAGTGGATTCGGATCATGGCCGCGTGTGTAACGTGGTCTCCTTGGTCTTTCTTTAGACAGGGTCTCACTCAGCTAGCCTTGAAGGCAGGAACCTCCAACTCAAACCCCAAATGCTGGAATGATAGGTATGCAACACCATGGCCAGCAAAAGTCTTTATTTTATTTTATTTTATCTTATTTGTCCTTGCTCCTAGGTCAACTCTTGGCTCTCCTCCTACCCAGCAGCAGAATGATACACCAAGGTTGATTCTTCCTTCCTTTTAAATCACTTTCTTTCCAGGCTTTCGGAGCACCAGCTACTTCCTGATCTTCCTCCTCCTCCCTTCCTGGTCTCTCAGTCTCTGCAGGTTGCAATTTGCTCCTCCTTGTCAGTGTTGGAACATCCCTCGGGCTCTCTCTTCTTCCCCTACACTCCCTCCCTTGGTTAGTCTGTCAAGCATCATAATGTAAACATCATGAATGGGTTGATAATCCCAAATGTGTTTCTCTTCTGACCTCCAGCCCTGCCTGGATGCTGAGTTACAATCCCCATATATCTAGAACTAAATTCTCCATCTACCTAATTTCCTCCATTTCCTCCTACGTAAACCTGCTCTTCCCACTGCCACAAGGCTACCTCAGCTTCTTCACACTTGCCATTTCCCTGTGTAGCCCACTCTACCAAGAAACCCTTATACATCATCTCCACACCTTCTCGACATTGTGTGTGTGTGTACATGTGTGTGCACACACTCTCGCACAGAGGAGGGGGCAGGGGGCGCGTTGAGACAGGATTTCTCTGTGTAGCCTTGGCTGTCCTGGAACTCACACTCAGAGACCCACCTGCCTCTGCCTCTGATGGGATTAAAGGCGTGTGCCACCACCTTCGACTTCCTCCTCGACTTTCTAAAAACAAGAAAAACTAAGCCACGTTTCCTGGTTTTCTCTGCCCATCTCCTGGCCACCCCATTTCCAATTGCAACACCCATCGGATACCCCTCAATCCTGTCCCCGCCTTACTCTTCTCGCTAGATTCTCCTGGTAAAATGTCTCCACTGTGGCTCTTCCTGCTGTCAGTGGATGCATTGTGAGACCCCTAATAGTTGGATGAAGAGACAATTAACACTGAATATTATTATATATACTGTATTTTCTTACGCGCGCGCGCGCACACACACACACACACACAGAGAGAGAGAGAGAGAGAGAGAGAGAGAGAGAGAGAGAGAGAGAGAGAGAGAGAGAGAACCATTATGCTCTAGTTAGCTTTCTGTTGCTGTGATATTCACCACGACTAGAAGTAATTTGGGGAGCAAAGGATTTATTGCATCTTGTGAGTTACAGTCCATGATTGAGGGAAACCAGGGCAGACCTGGATGCAGGAACTGAAGCAGAGGCCATGGAGGAACACTGCTTAGTGGCTTGATTCCTCTGGCTTGCTTGGCTACTTTTCTTTTTTCTTCTTCTTTTTTTAAAAACAAGCAAATTTTTTTTTTACGATTTATTTATTTATTACACATACAGTGTTCTGTCTACATGCCAGAAGAGGGCACCAGATCTCATTACAGATGGTTGTGAGCCAACATGTGGTTGCTGGGAATTGAACTTGGGACCTCTGGAAGAACAGCCAGTGCTCTTAGCTACTTTCTTATACAGCCCAGGGACACCTGACCAAAGATAGCAGTGCCCAGGGTAGACTGGACCCTCCCATATCAATTAGTAATCAATAAAATGTCCCACAGACATGTATAGCAGAATGTTATTTTAAGGTGTGTTACTTTTGTTTATGTTGCATTTGTTTAACTCTGTGAAGCTGTGATACTTTGCCTAACACCTGATGGTCCAACAAAGAGCTGAACGGCCAATAGCAAGGCAGGAGAAAGGATAGGCGGGGCTGCCAGGCAAGAGAATATATATA